GATCACACCCAGCACCCAAGTGGGAAGACTGAGCGGCTCACACTCTGACACTGGTTTTCAGTTAACTCAATTGCCACGATGGGAAGTATGGCGATGGAACAGTATGGCGAAAAGTCCGAGAAAGTGTAGGTGTTTTAACAAAGGCTGTTTCCCTTGACTGCAAAAAACTCAGCGGTGGTGAACGAGCGGCTGAACTCAGCTGCAAAACCGAGGTTTGGGGGTGGAAACATGAACCATGAATCAAACCGTGGAAAAGTAGGGCGACAGCTTGTCCAAAAGTTGAGCAGGTACACGGAGGTGATCAATCTCCGCATCCCCCATCGTGGAACAGCTTCGTTGGCACAGGTATCCACGATGGGCCTGTGCCCCCTGCTTGTGGAACCCTTCGGTACAGGGTGTGACACACACACACACACACTGCAAGCCTTCAAAACTGTTTGGAGCACTCTGGCCACATGGAAAATTCCCAACCCCAAAGCTTTTTAAGCACAAGCTAACCAGCGCTGTAGGATTCTATGGTTTTGGCATCCTTAGAGGTTGGCAGTGAGAAGTGCTGAATGTTTTCGAGGCTGCGGGATTGACACTGCCAGGTTGGGCGCAGATTGTCGGTGGTGGCTTTCCGAAACCCAGCGGTATGGAGCCAAGAATCTTTGCCAAAGAAGCACAACTTATCGAGTCAATAGCAGTTAATGAGACAGTTTCCTTGTTGCAGGTGCTGCGGGTGTGCAGACGGTCACGTACTCGCCACTTGGTTATTGTTTTATTGTTATTGTGGTAGAGATTTGCCGGGTAGGCACGAACGAGGTGCACGCTTGCGAGACTATCAACATGTTGGCCTTTTGTTTGCATTGGAACAATCTGAGGCATGTCTCCAGCATCTTCAGTGAAGTGACACACGGAAACTCAGGCAAGAACATCTCTGACTCGACCATCAATATCATTGGCTTCACCATGTAGGGCGTAGGGGGATGTTTCAGCATAATCGTTGTGGGGTCCGGAGTTGCCCACGGTGAATGGGGCACGCACCAATCGGTTCTGTTTGTCAGGTATGAACTTCCAAACAAGTTGGAATCATTCCTCGTGAATCCTACTCGGTTGAAGGCCATTACTCTTAGGTTGGAGGCCATTCCTATTAGCTTGGAATATTCTGAACAACATCTGTGAATCGCTTCAGACCTTTGAACCCTCGTGCGAAGAAGAATATTGCTAGCTAAAGGCATTGTGCGGAGTCCTCTGGCTGCTGGTACAGACCTGAAGAAGTCCGAGGTGCGATGGGAGGACATTATGCTTGTACGGTGTTTACTTTTATGCATGAGCTTCTACTTCGATTGAAGTAACCTTGTCTAGTGATGTATCTCACTTACTGATACTGCACAAGTTCTTCTTGAAGGGCCTCATGTTCAATATGCACCAATTAGAGCGCACCGTGCAAACTATGACAATTCCATAACACCTCCTTGAAGATCCTCCAGCCCTTGGATCAGCTCCTGTGTTTGATATTGTGCAGCTTGGTCTTGTGACTCGTTCCAACTGGGATTGGCTAAAACTAAAAACTCCTCATTGTGACTTGTGACATTGGCAGCTTATCCGTTTGATGTCGCGTGGAGTTGTTCCGTTGGTCGACGAGGCACCCAGTCGCATGGCAAAGCGGGACGACTTCGCTTGGCTGTCTGTGGTCTACACGCTCCTTGGCCCGAAGCTGCATAAGATCTGGGTACCTTGGTATCATACGGACAAGTGCCTTACTAGTAGTAACAAGAAGCTACTAGGAACAAGTGCATCGCTTCTTGTAACAACTGCCTTACTACTAGTAACACGAAGCTAGTAGAAACAAGTGCCACGCTAGTAGTAACAAGTGCCTTACTACTAGTAACAAGAAGCTATTACGGTATGCTACTGGATTGCGGATGTGATGTCTTGGAGACTGGGACCCCCAGGACCCCCTGAGGAAGGGAGGTGTTCATGTTGGGCTGACCTCAGGCTTTTGTTCTTTGCTGCTCATCCGCAGACGGGTGCACCGTGCTTGACCTAGCAAAAACTTTGCTGTAGCTCATTTGGTCTTTGTCACTTTGTGCTTTCTCACCAATATCCACTGTACACTCAGGTACGCTTTCATCGAATTGCGACGGGTTTGCATCGCCCATATGGATGAAGGCACATGGTTTGCCTCCTGCTTTGTGTTGCCGAATTACCTCCTGCTTTGTGTTGAGAATGACAAGTTTTGAAGCAATTGGTCTTAAGTATGTTTTGAGGCAACCAAGAGCTGACATTGGTGGGCGCGTTGGACCCCGAAGAACCTGACACAGCAGGCGACGGCTGACGAGAAAGAACAGCACTGGACAATTGAGCCACTGCAGCCACACTTGGTACTGTCAACCATCAGCCTCACAGAACTGCGAGGAAACACAACAACTATCGAACACTAGTGACTACGTCGAATCATTTTTTAGAGGAGAATCTATCGATCTTTTGTGCACCAAGCCTTTTGGATGTCTATAAGAATCTGTTTGGTTCCAAAGTTGTTCAGGCCAGGATACACACTCTTTAAGCGTGAGCTCGTTTGGCAAATTTGGGTGTTCAGAAGCATTCCTTCCATTCCCATCGCATGGTACACCCGATCAGAAGATTATGTCAGCGATGTGGTCCTCCCCCTCCACGCGCAGACTTCACGGTGCATCGGCGGGATGCCAATGGGTCCCGGTCTGAGATAATGGCGTGTTAGTAAGGACCTGAAGACCGCAAAGACCTTCGAAACACCAGAATGGATTAGAATGTGGTTGTGTACCATCGAGTTTCAAACATGCTCAAAGAAGGGATCTTGTTTGCGAACCTGCAACATGGTTTTGATAGCTTGCATTGATGTGAAAGTCCTTTTTGTCAGATTTCGGATTTGAGCATAGCTGGAAACATGTCAGGGTCTACAAAGGCTTGTTTGGACAAGCTCTCAGGATATCTCCTGTTGGGATTGTGTTGCTGCTTCCGGATGGACGGTGGCAGGACGTTCTTGATGGCAGAACTTGGAGCATCAAACTACTCAATGTTTGATTCTGCCTGCTTGTCCAAGCTGGATCGTTTCCTCGACTCATCGTCTCTCAGGAGCTCAGCATGCCCAAGCTGGATCTTCGTTTCCCTTCAGCTGAGAGCTTGAAGATGCTGGGGACCCTGATGAACCAAGTTTTCAAAGGCTTCGCTGCATTCGGATGACGAGCTTTGCAGTGTCAGGTGGGCCAATCACATTATGGCTGGTGGTCAAGGTGGGATGGCAGAAAGACTCGAAAAGAAGTCAGTTTCGCCACCGGGTCGGACACCGAACGTGTAGTCGTGTCGTGGTGCTCGACAGCGTTCAACTCGCAGAGTCCGAACCAAGTCTCGACAGCAACTCCTCCGCGTGAACTGGAGCTGCGACCGCTTTGAGAGCGGAGATGGGTGAGTCAAGAACCTGGAGCCTCCATCCGTAGCAGTTTGTGCCACAGAACTTTCGACTCTGACTCTCAGCCATGCGAACAAAAGAGCGAGTGACCAGCGTGGCCATTTGTTTGGGAAAGCACATATTCCGCAAGAAGCACCCACGAAACAATACCACAGAAAACATACTCTCTTGTTTGTCCCACTACAGGCAATAAAGATTCAGAAAAAGCACCGTTAGGTTTATTGTGTCTTCAGCCACCCTGAACTTTCAATAATATTTAAGTTTACATCACTCAGTCACCTCATGGTGTTATATGGTGTTGTGACATGGATGCGACTACGCGCGTTCGGTTTCCGACCCGGTGGGAAGTTTTGCTGGTTTCCTAATTCCAATGCCAGGTAAGCAGGGCCGGCCCTCCGGTGCTTATGCCAGAGGAGTGCAGGTGGGCCATAGTAGTCTTTGCTCCTAGTAGCTTCTTGCTCCTAGTAGAGTAAGGCCAGGAGCCCCTAGTAGCGTCCTTTCTCCTAGTAGCGATGCCAGGAGCCCCTAGTAGCGTCCTTGCTCCACTCTGCAAATATGAGCGCGTTTCCAGTCTCGAGCTTCACATTTTTTTCGTCCTTTGACATGCAGAGTTCTGTGGCCGGATGTGCAAGATGGCACGCCTGGATCAGGTGACCTGAGCTTTGCGTCAGAAGCTCAGAACTTGGTAATCGGTCAGAGTGAGTGACACTTTGAGAAAATTGGGTTCATATTCTATTTCACACGTTTCAATTAAGTGCTGCAAGTCATTTGCGTGCGTGCTTTGATTCATATTTCACATGTCTCACAGTGCGCCAGCGATTCAATTCAGATCTCAGCTTCATCCTCCCTGCCGTTGCAGGGTGACAGCTGACAAGTGGCTGCACGAGAACTTTGAACCGTAGACAAGGGAGCGCGGTTGCTTCCATAGAAACAGAATACACATCCCATTCTTGAGTCTTCTAGCTTGGCTTTATGCAGCAGACAAACAAGCTCAGCACATTATTGAAAGCAAGGGTCAGAGAAACAGCCGTGCAAAAAGCGCGGTTTCTGCATGAATCGGAGCTGAGGGTGCAGAGGGTTTTTATCATTCAATTGTGATATGCAATTGTTGGATCTAGCACTTTGCTTCCTTTCTCGCGCCCATTTGGGAATTGGTATCACACGAATTCACTACGGTGGAGATTTAGTCGGCGTACATGGAATCTACATGGCTCAGTCTTGTCTGTGTGGGTGAGACTAAAGAATCTCACACCAATTAGGCGGCAGCCTCAATACAATGTATCGTGCATTGAAGTTTGTTTTGTGCATTGAAGTCTCGTTTGCTTCCCTCGCGACTTGCGAGCCACCTAGATTGCTCTTGTGCACGTCTCACAGTTGGGGCATGTGGATCCCAGCTCAAAAGGATAAGTGCCCGAAAAGGAGGCCAGCATGGAGAGAGGGTTTGAATGGCAGGCACCGCATGAGCCCTCACAAACCAATGTTGCCAGTGTTCGGCTCCCGGTAGCCACTGGCAGCCACTCTTAGCCGAGTTGAAAGTACTATTGCAACAAGAGCTCTCCGCGGCTGTTTGAGTGCAAAAGAAGCCTGCCAAAGTGTGATGCGGCCTATGGCCCTGCTTGGCGGACGGTTCCACAAGCTCCACTGAAAGAACTTTCGAAGGCGGTACCTTCCTGTCTTGTCAAATGCGGTACCTTCCTTTTTCCATCTCCTTTTGTCTTCTTTTCTTTTCTTATTTTCTAGGTTTTTTTGCTTGTGAAATGGTGTGGACCCTTGGTTGTGCTGGACCCTTTGGCCCTTTGCTTGGTTAGGCACGGTACTCATGGCGCCATTGGAGGAGCGGGTGGGGGATGTCCCATGAACACAAGCGCTTGAGCAACTCGTTTCAACATGTTCGGGTTCGCATTGGACAGACTGCCAAACTTGTCTTGCATTCAGTGGTCAACTTTGTAGGATTTGCACTCCAAAGACCTTGCATGGATCAGTGACTTCGTCATGCAGCAAGTGGCCGCCTGCTAAGCAAAACAGCGGAAGAAGAGAGAGGAAGGGAGAATGAGAGAGGAGTTGAAGGTTGCACAAATTGAACGGAGTTGAAGAAACACACCCGGTAATATGTATCAATTAAGAAAGGTTCCCACAGGTTCAGAAATAGCTTGGCCACCGCTTGGTATTCGACTTGGAGATGATGCTACCTTGTCGCGCTAGCAAAATGCAGGGTTGCGCTAGGTTTGCGCTAGGTTTGGCGCTAGGTTCAAGTACTTGGGTAAGATTCACAAACAACGCAATTTCATTGGTAATTAAACTTGTTGAGGTATGAACGGATAACCTGTGGGACAAGGCATTCTTTAGCTGAGTTGATCTTTGTGTCTGTGTCTGGAAACAGCAATTTTGGCTGTAATTGGTTTACGTAAGCAGGAGACACCGACACCCATCCATTGCGAAAAGTGAAGGTTTGGCTGCTGAAGACAGCGCGCTCACACTTTCTGGCGCACACACACACACAGGCACACCCGCGCAGGCCCAACGGCATGTTCCCATTGCGTTTCGATTCTTCGTGCGTGGAAGAGCTATTGTATAACTATATATTTCAAAGCTAGGAAAGCCGGCAGACCGCAAAGCGTGCTCTTGACCACAGCCGCTTGGTGGCCTGAGGCACTGGCAGGGGAGCGCGCAAATGCGCACTAGACCACTTTGCACCTTTGACCAATTGACCAACTGCTTTCCAGGGCTGCTACTCAATACGCTGGAGACATACACAAGCGGATTGCCTGCACGACGTTGCGCTGGGGTGATGAGAGTAGATGAAAAGACGAGAAGGCAGCTGGGCTGGGGGGCTTTGTATGCACGAACAAAGAGACAAATCATAGGAAAATCATCTATCATATCTTGACAACTTGTTTCTGGGATTTTCTGGGTATAAAAGGACTGCTACTTTCAGCTTCACATTTGGAACCGGCTGGCCTGTAAGTAAGGACGCAGCTATAAAAGTCGCGCACGCAACATACAACCATATACATGAGCAGATGTTGTGTACATGAAAACTACCGTTTGGAATTTCTGTGATTTGAAGCTGGGAGACTGAATTTAGACGGGTTTCTTGTTTCAGCTCGTAACCGGCGTAGGTGTATAGAAGTGTATCTATCTATCTATCTATCTCTTTGTTTGTCTGTCTGTCTGTCTGTCTATCTATCTATCTATCTACTGGGTGCTCGGGTCAACTTGTCTCGAGTGGCAAGAACTTGTGCCAGAAGAGGTGTGCCCTTGGGAAGAGGTGTGCCCTCGGGGGAAAGCTTGATTGGGCTACCTTTCTGTATGTATGTAGGTATGTATGTACGTACGTACGTAGGTAGGTAGGTAGGCAGGTATTTCTTTTCTCCTAATTTTGAGGGTTCAGTTGCCGTTTTGGCAGTTGGGTAGGCCTTGTGCCTCAGTTGGCATAGGTGGCCGGTCTCAGAAGTACTCAACAGCCATACAGTCATCCTCATCGACCTGGTGGTTTGCAGGGGCTTCGACTTGAGGGTCACTTGCCATGTCTTCCTCCTGCCCTGCTAGGTCGAGGTCTTGCTGTGCTGCATCTTGGTGGGCCAGCGCAGAGTCTGCTTGGTGTCGGCCTGTCTCTGTGGCAGTGCCGGATGAGGTGGACGGCCAAGGTGCTTTCAACTGGTTTTCTACATAGGTATGCTCCTTTGCGGGTACTCCGAGTGTGGAGGCTTGTGACTGGCTGGATTGCTGCTGTTCCCTCTCTCAGGGCTGTGGGGAAGTGCAGGCGTCGTGGTGTGGGTCCCTGGTGCCTGTCAGCCGGTGTGTTACAAGCTGAGGGTTCTGGCTGGGACTTGTCATCTGGCTGTGTGGGTGCACTTGCTTGCTTCTTGAAAAAGTCACTGAGCGGCGGGGAGCCTTTGAGACCAGCCCCTCTGCATTCTTTGCGGAAAGCACTGGTGCCGATGACTCGCTTCTGGCTGTCAAGATGATAGGTATGTAGGTATGTAGGTATGTATGTACGTATGTACATATGTATGTACGTATGTATGTATGTTTGTATGTTGTTTATCATAGGCTTACCTTAGCAAGGACTTTCGCGTCTGTGTGTTTGCCCTCAAGGTGCGAACTTAAGGTGGTACCAACATGTGGGTCAGAGGCGGTGTGCCATGGGGGTGCGATCATGGCAGCCCGCAACAAACCTTAGAACCCATCAGCATGTAGAAGGTTGAATCGCAATGGAATGGTGTAGGCTCAGAAAAAAATCTAATTAGAAGAACCTGTACTTGTTTCGAAGCGGTGTGCCATTGTGTTTTCCAAATGGGGTAAAAATTTACATTCGTGGGGTAAGCGGTGTGCCATGAGGGTGGGTCAAGTTCCTGGTCAATCAATCAATCTATCTATCTATCTATCTATTTATCTATCTGCACTTGAACCTACAGCAGGAGACGGACGCATTTTGATCGTGCGCAAAAACACAGCATTTGGGCAGCCAAACCATTTGGCAACCCAAAATCCAAGAAAAGGGGAATGCAAAACCAGTGTTCATCGCACTATTTTTCACTCCCGGTGAACTCCTAGGTCATCATGATGCGTCCCATGATGGACCACTTGCAGCAAACAGACAACTCCGTGGACTATGCCCAACGACAGGCACCTTTTTTGATTGAACGACACTTCCGTACTCTACAGTTGAGCTTTCAATTTGCACTTGCCAGGCCAGGTTCTAATTTTTCAATGTGCTACTCTTTACTTTCAACATTTAGTTCAAGCTTGCTTTGCCTGTCCTATTGCTTGTCGGAGAGATTATGAAACACGTAGTATTGGAGTTGGTGCAGCAACGGAGTTCATGTTTTCCTCGTAGGACACCTGCGTTCTTTGCTTATAGGACGATAGAACAAATATTTGGGCCAGGTGCTTCATGGTGCTTTCCATTTGCGTCAGGTGAACCGGATTAGCATGGACCTAGCCGAAGTCAAAGCAGACGTCGACCGGACCAACAAGTCCCTCGGAACGCACAGCTGTGACATGCCACACCGGCTGTGTCATGTTCTCAATGAACGACCACACCGTGTGGTTTGGGTTGCCAAATGGCAACTTTTTGTGCAACACACACTATTTGTGAAGCTTGACATCCCTTCCTGTTCTTTCTCAGAGCTTTGCCAGCCTGCCTTCTTTCGCAATTTGCAGCTTCGAAGGTACCTTGCGATATTGCGGCAGGCCAACACAGAGTGTTATACAGAAGCAAGTTTAATGTCATTTCTGCGATGCAGAATATCAAGCAATTCCAGCTCACTAGATCCTTGACTCATGCAAGAAAGTCATCACTGACCAGGGCTTGGGGGTGCAAAATGAGGGCAAATGCGTGGGAACCCAACACTCTGAGATGTGGAGCCTGAGTCTGACAGTTTCAAAAACCCATCGAAATGCTGCCTTTCGCTGTATGGTCGCCAATGGCTTCATTCAGCAGATTTGCGCTCGTCCTCTTCAGAACGCTTGTGCAGAATTTCCACCCAGTGGGACCAACGGACCGGACACCTGAAGAAAGGGACCACGGCTCAGTTGTGGCTCCGCTGATGTAACTAAGTGCTTCTAAGCTAAGGTACTTTGTACCTGTAAACATCCACATCTCGCATCATCTCGGTACATGGCACCGCTTCTGAGGATTACGTGGCAGGATCCATGAATTGCCCGCCCTGACCCGCTGAGGCGTATTGCAACGAAGTCTGGAGTCAAATACCCGGTGTGGTACTTGGGATACGACAAGCTGCGCCGCAGCACAGAGTTGGAGAAAGAAACAACAGCCTGTAAAAAGAGAAACACAAAAAGAAACCACCGTCAATCACAAGATCCGCCAATCAGTGTGATTAACGATGTCCTTCTTTGTTGATTCCTGTTTGCTTTCAACCTCGGAATCAGGCTAAGGCCTTGATTGCCGGCCTTTGAGCGACACCTGCCTTTTGTAAGGACTGTCAAGAGGCTGGATGAGCAGATGGAGAGTCTTTTGACCGTGGCTCGGTGATCATGAAATGGAGCACTGGGAGGTTTTCCGGGATTTACCACGAAAGATGTTGGTGCAGGGCCCTGTTGATGGCCTGCGATTGGCGGTTTCAAAGATTTCAATGCGGACTCATTGGGGTGGAAGCAACTGGCACTATGCTTCTTTTGCAATGCTCTCTCGGTAAACTCCTTGCATAGGGGGCCCCAGGTCCAAGAAGGGGCCCAGTCAGACACGGCGGCCATGGAATCTATTAATTTTGGAGAAGATTCCATGGACCACCACTCCCAAAAACCAGAAAAAACCTCTCAAGCTGGTTTGCGGCAACCTCTTTGCACCCACTCTGTACAAGTCTGTGACCTTTGCCACCCTTTTGATTTGTTCTACTCTGGAAGTTGCAGGTATCGGGGCTGTGTCCAGCTGAGTTCACTGAGGTTCTGAGAGGAGTGGAGGAGAGTTTCTCCCAGCTCTGCACTGACTTCAGGGGTGCTAACACGCGCCATGAGGAGCTCCTTGAATTGGGCACATGAGGAATCATGTAGATAGTTGCCTGGTCAATGTAGTGCGTGTTGACACAGGCTTTGGACCGTGACCTGTGCAAAGCCCTTCCCCCGCAGAATGACAAGCGGTTAATGGACCAACGTTGGTCTGGAAAGGAGCTCTCGCAGAAGGTCAGCGAGCACACGATCACAATCGATGATTTGCAGGTGCCTGACTCACAAGCAGCAACATGAATACACGATGCGAATACACAATGAGCACAAGCACACACACACATGTATTGTGTTATATTTGCAAATGTATACGCATCAGTTGCGGTGTGTCCGGACAGCGGCAGAGGCCTTCAAACATGAGACTCACAGCTCTTTCTGTGAAATGTTTCCCTTCATGAACGAAGTGTTGGGACGATGCGGGTGCACAAAGCTTTTGTCTTTTGTCGGGCAGCGCCTTGTGAAGACGCTGGCCGCCTGGCCGCTGGTCGTCGCCTTTGGATCAACCGTCGATCGCAATCACGACAGAAACCGAGGCCAAAGTCGACCGCATCGAAGCTCCAAAGGATGAGGGCATGAACGAGCCACGTATCGAGGCGTGGGCAGCTGATCAGCCATGAAGGATGTGAAAGTATTTGATTGGAACAGCTTCCGAGAACCTTTTGGTGAAGCATGAAGAAGCATCATGAGCAGACACAAATACCGTTTCGTGATGTTTCGTTCTTTGTGTTGTCATTTTCCTGCTTTCTGGAGGTCTGGCACCAGCTGAAGGAGCTCCGGAATCAAATCAGCCTGGTGCCAAAGCTGGAGGACTTCCTCACGGTCGACCGGTGATGGACTTCTCGGTCTTGACGTGAGTACCGTGAGTACCTTCCACTGGACCACTCTTGTGCCTGTTTCATGGCTGTTTCACTCGATACATTGATGAATGATACTAAATTATACTAAGTTACTGATTTAGGGATGTGGAGAGATCAAGCCATGCTGTACTGCTCAAGCTTGTGACCCTGTGCAATGCGTTGTGACAGCAGATGGCAAAGGGTAACATTCTAGGCATACATTTGCGCAAGGAAGCAACTAGCACTGGTTCTTGTGAAATGCATCGAAATGCACAGTGAGTCCAAGCAAGGTGAAAATGCATTTGCACTTTTGGCATGATGCTTCATAAGTGGCTGTGTGACAATGAAACAACTCTAAGCGGTTATATCCTCGTCCTGTTTCGCCCTACTCGTATCTCTGGTGTCAAGATTCTTCTGTGGAGAAAATACAAGCAATGTGGATAGGCCGTAGTCCAAACGAAGCGCCAACTGAAACTGATTCAGGTTCAGCGGTTTGGTCTTTCCTCCACAAGCGAGTTCGATGCCGTGGCGCGCAACTTTAGCTCCAGGAGAAGGGCAAACCCCCCACTGCTCAAAGTGTGGGGGTGAGAGCTGAGCCTTGGTGCGGGGACCATGGGCGGACAACGGGCCGACGACGCGTGACAAGGACATGCTGACCGAGGGCGGGTGGGCGCATCCTTTAGAAGAACGGAAGAGCACACATGATCTGGGAGACAGAGTCAGAGACACGAAGTGCAAACAAGTTTGTTGTCGTGATCATGTTAGTATTCTTATGTATTCTTACCGTTTTCACACACTCACGCACGCACTCTAGGCGCACCATAACACAGTTTTGAGAGAGAGAGAGTGAGTTGTATTGTCAGATGCAGACGCTGGTGCGTCCCAGACCGGTGCATTCCACCAGACCTTTGGCCTTTGGGAGTTGAACATTTTTTCCACCAAACATCCTGTAGAGGCCTTTGCGATGTAGTTTGGTGCCATTTGTGGGGTACCCGCTGTACCAAACGACCGAAGGCTGGTCCAATCTTGGTCTCACCGGGCTAAAAACGTTTGCTCGAGGCCAAAGAAGAGCTACGCCGCTGTGGAGGTAGCGACGCCAGGCCGAGACATGTGGCTGACACTGTCCTTTCAGCATGCAGTGCCAAGTCTCTTAGCCATTCGGAGCAGACATGTTGTTGGCCTTGACGTGGTTGGTTGTCACTACCTGCGCCAAAGGAAGCTATGCAGCGAGCAGCCTTTCCGATGCCACCAACACTGGTTATCTTTGACCTGCTTACGTCGAGTGCCTGCACAGTCTGTCGAGCACACCATGCGGCATGCGCACAGTCTGTCAGATCTGACATGTTCCATTATAGTATGGCCAGGCGCCCCTAGTAGCTGCCCTTGTTCCTAGTAGCGATGCCAGGAGCCCCTAGTAGCTTCTTGTTCCTAGTAGTAAGGCCAGGAGCCCCTAGTAGCGTCCTTGCTCCTAATCTTTTTTTTCTTCCTTTTGTTCCCTATTTGATTCAGAGAGCGAAGTAGAGGAAGAAGGATAGAGGCAGAGGGGAGAGGGAGAGGGAGAGGATAGGATAGGGAGAGGATAGGATAGGGAGAGAAAGGGAGACAGTGTTTATATGTGAAAAGTTCCACATTGATCTACAGTTACTAACAGCTTAAATTTTTGGCCTAGTGCGCCCAGATCTGCCAGGTAGCAGCCACGCCAAACGCATCAGCCGGGCACGCAGAGCATTTCTTTTGACGACCCGAGTGGCATGCAAAGGTTGCGGTGCTGCAAGCAAGGCTCTGAACATTTCTGCTAGGTGAAGAATCGGGCATCAGCCAGGGTCGGGTGCAATAAGGAAGGCAGAAACACACGGAACAACGCGCCATCACAACAAACGGTGGCGTGTGGATTGAATTGATCACCAGCGGCGGGAAGGAGCAGGTGGTGTGGTTGGTGCGTTTTTATAAACACACAATGCATGACCATATTGACTCATTGACCAAGTTCCAGAATGACCATCAAGAATCTCTGGTGGGCGGCAGAGGGGTGTGGTGATGATCAGCGATCCACTATTTTTCGGGTTTGCTGAGGCCGTGTCGGTAGCAGCTCCAGTCGAGCACAATTACTGCCCCAGGCCTGATGGGTATCCAAAGATTTGCATCCTAAAACTGCCATTGGTTGCAGCTGTCAAAAATTTGAAGGACGATCTACACTGGCACAGTTCAACGTTTTGGACTTTTGGTACATCACCAATCAATCAGTAAGTTAAGTGAGATAAAGGAATATTTTTGGACATCTTGAGCGAACAGTGGTTATTTGACACACTCTTCGTTCGTTATAAGACGAGCAGATATGAGACGAGCTCGCTTGGTCTGTGTGATCGTTCTTTTTTCAGGAGCATTTCACTTTGAGCGTGCCCAGTCGAAATCCTCGAGCCATTGTCCAAGATGCCAAGATGTTGTTTTTCAGAGCCAGGGCCAGGGTTTCATTGTACACGCATTGAACACGCCTTTCAGCACCAGGATCATCATCCTTTAAGCATGTTCGACTACCTGCTTTGTCCAAGCTAGGCCTTTGTCCAAACATTTTTGGGCTGCCAGCTTGAAGCTGTTTAAGCTGTTTAAGCTGTTTTTGCATATTGCCCTCTCAACGGATCACCTGCTGAGCACGTTGAGTGGCGAAGCCCTTGAGCTCGCTGTTTCTGAGAAGCCTTGAGCTCAATGGTTCGAGCTCCAGGTCTGGAGTGAAGACACAACTGATGACCCCTCGGAGGAGGTGGGTCGATGATTGATGCTCAGATTTTCTTGTCCCCTTCTTCCCTTCAGCTTTTCCTCCCCTTACTTTTCCAGTTTTCCATGATAAGAGAGAACATGGAACACCCTGGCGAAACTAGCTTAGCCACATCAACGCATACGGGTTGACTCCTTCACTTGACCAGCAGTGTACCGTGGCTTGATGGATCTTGCCTTTCGGCTGGATAATCCCGACCTCCCATTTTCATCTCCCTCTCAAGTCAATCTAGGAACAAGAAGCTACTAGTAACAAGGACATCGCTACTAGTAGCAAAGGCATCGCTACTAGTAGCAAGGGCATCGCTACTAGTAGCAAGGGCATCGCTACTAGTAGCAAGGGCATAGCTACTAGTAGCAAGGGCATCGCTACTAGTAGCAAGGGCATCGCTAC